AGCCCTGCTTCCCTTTTTCCTCAGCAGGGAGAACAGAGAATCGTGGAGCTGAATGAAGGATCTCGATTTTCTCAGGGGACAGACTGGAAAAGGCACCTTTGCTCAGCCTTAGCACCCTCTCTATCAGCCAGAAGCTGCTGAAAGAAGATCAAGATTTTTTGCTGCTCTGAACAGTCTGATCACCAGGCACCTTCCTCCAGTGTGCTGATTTTCCATGTCTGCCCACTGGGTTCATGCTGGAACTCCTCTTTTATTCACTGTTTAGCTGCTCTTTAGCTCCCTTGCCCCCACCCACCTTGCATTTATCTTGTCTGACCTCGGGTGACCAAAGCTGTCACGCTGCATTCCTGAGAAAAGGACATTGGGCCTTTGCATAATGGCATTAGCATCTCTTGGGGGAATTCTCTGCCTGGTACATCCTGGGATGTCACTTGACATTTCCATGGACACAGCTCCTTGGTGATTCACAGTCCTGCTTTGATCAGCTTGTACACCCCAGTGTTTCCCCTCTGGTGACATTTGCAGAGGATGTGTTCCCAATCCCAACACGTGTAACAGTGGGAATTACAGCATCACACTCCAGCCCCCCGCTCCAGCCCTTGAGATCATCCCAATCTCCCTCTCTGTAGTGCCTGTCTGTGAAATCTCATCTCCCTGCACACAAATGCTTGGTCATTGCTGAAAAATTGCAACCCAAGGTCATTCATGAAGAAATCTTTATTAACTTCAGAAGAAAACAACTCCTCTCTCAATTTTATCTGTTATTATCTCTCCTTTAACCCCAGCAGTGAATAGTTTACAAGTCTTATGTTAATTCTCAGCAAAACTAATGAAACTCATATGGCTCTGTCAAAATATTCCGCTGAAATCAAGATTGGTTAAATACATTAGTGTGCCTTTCTTTCTTAAAAAAAAATAATAATAATAATTTCCTCAGAGAAATGAGGTTAGTCTGGATCCATCTATCTTTGGAAATGGAGCTGAAGAGAATGATTTTGGAATGTCTGGATATCTGCTGACAGGAATGGATCTATTTTCGGTATTTACGTAGCTCATTGTTGTGGCATGTGAGCACATCATGGCTTGCAAAGTATTCATTTTCTACAGGCTCCTGAAAGAAGTGAGATGAGGCCCATTTCAGAGATGGCAACATTTGAGGGATGGCAACATACTCCTGGCCATGTCAGAAGCATCAGTGACAAACTTAATGCTGGTCTTTGCTCACATTTCCCCTGGTTGTGACCCCAGCCCAAGCGTTAACTCTTTTGCCTCAGCATTTATCTTCTTTTTAGACTTCTTTCCCTTGCACTCTTATATTTTTCTGTTAAAGTGAGTCCACCTTCCTGCAGCTAAGCCGGGGCTTTGTCCATCCAAGGGAAAAGAATTTCCAAATAAAGTCCCCTTCCCTCCCTCCCTCCCTCCCTCCCTTCCTTCCTTCCTTCCTTCCTTCCTTCCTTCCTTCCTTCCTTCCTTCCTTCCTTCCTTCCTTCCTTCCTTCCTTCCTTCCTTCCTTCCTTCCTTCCTTCCTTCCTTCCTTCCTTCCTTCCTTCCTTCCTTCCTTCCTTCCTTCCTTCCTTCCTTCCTTCCTTCCTTCCTTCCTTCCTTCCTTCCTTCCTTCCTTCCTTCCTTCCTTCCTTCCTTCCTTCCTTCCTTCCTTCCTTCCTTCCTTCCTTCCTTCCTTCCTTCCTTCCTTCCTTCCTTCCTTCCTTCCTTCCTTCCTTCCTTCCTTCCTTTTCACAGGATCTGTCACCCCCTCTGAAATGCAGTTTTCAATGCATGGGGGAAAAAAAAAAATTACACTTATGCTGCTGGGATTTTTGGGTAGGAACAAGGGAAAAGGCAGAAAGAATTAGAGCAGGGAAAATTCACTACACCAGAAGCCTTTGCTGCAGTGAAGCAGCCCAGGAAACTGCATTGCAAGTGAGGGACTGGGACTGATGGCTTGCTCAAAATCCATAGCTCCATTCCTGCCACAAGACCCTGCCACAGCACAATGTGTTTTAGAAGAAAGGAATGTTGGAAATTTCCCTGTCACAACTCTGACCCTGCCCTGGCTGGGGGCTATGATCACCCCTGGCACTCCCTGTGCCTTCATCCCTTTGAAAGCAGCTCTGGTGGCTCCTGGTGGATGTCACATCCAGGTCTTTTAATGCTCCCACTAAAACACACTGATTAAATTATATCTCTAATTGCTTCCCTCATCACACAGACATAAAATTCCTTTCCTGTGGGAATCCAGGGCTTCCCTCTGGCTGCCCTGGCAGCTCTGGGACCCTGGCAGGGGTCAGGAACCCCCCTGGACAGAGCCCCCAGAGACACTGTCTGTGATCTCTGTCCATGGAAAAGAGTTTTCAATCTTACAGGATGAATTACAAGCTCTGAGTGTTTGATATGTGTAATAATTAAGTGTGGTACGGGTGCAAAAGTAAAATTTTAGGATTCTAGATTAGGGGTCCAAAGAGGACAAGAAGGAGGAAATTGGGTGTGCCTTGTCCTTTTTCTCCTTCTTCATGCCCTCCATGTTTCACTGTGGTGTTGGCATTTTTCTGTTGGTTCAGGCTGGGGACACACTGTCCAACGTAGGTGACAGATATTGGCACGTTATTGTAAATCCAGCACAGGTAGTTTGTGGTATTTAATGTTTGTAACATCCCACTGAGGGCAGAGCCCCACACGCTGCCCTGCAGGACAGAGCTGCGGCAGGGCAGCAGAACATGTTAGAGATAAACAGAATAAACAACCTTGAAACCAGCACAGACGAATTATGGCTTCTGCTTTGGCAGCGGGGCAGAAAGACATAGACTTCCTACAATCTCGGGATCATCAATACCGACACTTTCCCTAACAGAGCACTGAACTATTTGAGCCTGCACATCTCCAGCTGAACTTTCTCCAGCAGCTTCCCTGCTGCCGGGGCAGACCCGCAGCGCCGCTGCTGCCGCTTCCCCGGTCGCTCCATCCCGGTTTTTTGGGAAGCCGGGCTCGCTCCCTCCCTCGGGCTGCCCTCCGGTGGCCGCCAGGGAAAAAAGCAGCGTCAGCTCTCGGGAGGGTCCCGGAGAGATCGGGGCACGATTTCCTTCCCTCCTGCCCGTGCAGCCTCTGCAGGAGGCTTTTCCCTCTGAAATGGAGATGTCCTCCGCCCCACAGCTGGCCCTGACACTTCCAGGTGTTGTTCGCAAGAGGATCTGTGTGTGGTGCACAGGGCAGCCCCTTGCTCTCCCACTCTGCACAGCCGGGAGTGGAGAAGGGGGGTGGGCAGTGTGAGATGCTCTGACAAGACCTGAAATGCAGCAGGAATTCGAGGGGTGGCCCTTGTGATAGGGACTTGGTGGCTTCTGTAGAGGCTGAGCTGGGAAAGGACTAAACGTAATCAGAGATCATCTCCAAATCCAAATATCCTAATCTCCAAATCTCCAAATCTCCAAATCTCCAAATCTCCAAATCTCCAAATCTCCAAATCTCCAAATCTCCAGCTCTAAAGGCTGAGAGGGGAATTGTGTTCACCCTCCAGGCTGGCTGGGTGCAGATCCTTGCATGCCCATGGCACAGGAGCATTTCTCTGCAGGCACAGGCAGTGTGAGGATGGTGGGTGCTGTGTTCATTTCTCTCCACCTCCTGTCCTCCTCGCCCACCCAGCCCTGACCATCCCCTGGCAATGTTTCTGCTGTAGCTGCTGGCCAAGGAGCCAGCTGGAGCTCATTACTGGCGCTGCCAGACCCAAGTTCTGCCTGCTGGGGCTGCTGGAAGTTTCCAGCCAGGACCTCAGGTTGAAGTCATGGCACAGAGCCACTGTCTTGATAACCATCCCTGGAAAGAGCCCATTCTCCTCTGGAGCCAAAGGCAGCTTCCCTCAGGCCTCTCTGCTGGAAGCAGGATGGCCATTAACAAGTCCAGCTGAGCAGCCACATGGCTCTGCTCCTCCTGAACCTCCTGAAGGTCACAGCTCTGCAGAAGGACAGGGAGAAACCTCAGACCTTTTAATGCTCTACAGAACCTCTTTGGTTTGGTTTGGTTTGGTTTGGTTGATGGCTCCTGGGAAGGGATGCACTCAGGAGGTGCCCAGGCTCTCCCTGCTCTCAAGAGAGGCTCCGGGTGATGCTCTGTCTCATCTCCTCGTGGGAGGGAAGGACGTGAGCAGTGGTGAAGCCAATGTGAACTGTGATCTCCACAGATGGGGGAAGGCCAGTGCATGGAGAAGGCCAAACACCACGAGATGTTACCTAAAATAGCCCTTTCAGAAGGCAGTGCTACCTCACAGCTTGACAGAGCTGATGGCGAACGTGTCAGGTTGTTCCTGTTGGGCCATTTGTAGCTTTTCTCCAGCACTTTACACTTCCATCTGCTCCTGCTGGACTGGCTGCCAAGGGCTGCCTGTGTGTCTTTACAGCCTCCAGACCTGGTCCTGGGAGCAGCCACAGCAGAAAATGGGTGCCAAGGCTTGCAGGAAGGGCTGACATGGACCTGTGGGGACAGCAGGAACCCAGAGCTCGCTGGCAAGGAGGGATGACAGACCACAGAGTTTTCAGCCATCAGAGAACACAGACATTTAGGTGCACTTGACAGGAGAAACAGATTTGGAGAAATCCCAGAGGAGCTCAGTCAGAATCCCAGGGATATTTTCAGACCACGTTGGATGTGTCAGAGCACAGGTAACAGGCACTGTTCTTATGGAGATGAGTGTGTGCCGTGACTAAGCCCATCAGGTGTGGAGCTAAATCAGACACTGCTCGAGGCCTGTGTCCCATTTAATCACCATCTTGTGGAACAGGCTGGGCCCTGATCCAGGAAACCTGGTGGACAGGATACAGGAAATCCGTGACCTGCTCCCACCTCAGCCACTGAAGTAGGAGGTGAATGTAGGCAACACGGTTCTTCATGGTGTGACTCTTCCCTCTGCAACATCTTGACTATTTATATCAGCAGTTTGGCCCAGGAAATTTCAGCATTGGGCCTTTTTTTGCAGCATCCATCACCAAGCCCTGCTAATTTAATTGTGCAGTTCTTTGCTTTTTTATTTTATTTTTTTTAATTGTAAAATCCTCCTGAAAACACCTGGTAAGAGAATCAAAACAATTCTTATCTCATTCACTGTTTGTGCCCATGTGCAATGTGTTCTGGAGATCGTTTACCCAAGGTGATTGATGGATTGGATTCTACTGATGGTGTTTTGGATTCATTGACCAGTTGGATCCACGTGTTGTGTTGGGACTCTCAGGAAAGAGTCATGGGTTTTCTAGTTAGTTAGTGATACTTCTTGTTAGTGTAATATAATTTAATAAAGTAATTAAGTAGCCTTCTGAAATCATTGGAGTTCAGACATCATCCTTCCTGCATGTTGGGCATCACAGCACTGATGAAGCTGACCTATACCAGAGGATGCAACTTTGAGAAAACTCCAGCTCCATCATTCTGGTTCCTGGCAAGGCACAAAGAAGATGTCCCAGCATCTCTTCCCAAGAGGGTTTCAAGGAGCAGCACTTGGCTGACCCTTGTTTCCTGTGTGTCTGTGTCCCTTACCTTGTCGCCTGCACACTGGTGTTGTGGTGACTCATTTATGCCTGCTGGCTCCCTGCAGTAATTACCAGCAGAGCTTTCTGTCGTCACAGCTCTTAAGGTAGGTTCATGCTGTGATAAATAAGCTGCTTAGCAGCATGGAAAGAAATGGTATTTAAAGTTTAATATCTTTTTTTAGCCCCTTTTCAAAGGACACCGATTTTGTGATCTGTTTGGGAAGATGCAGTAGATTTTGTGTCTTCCTTTCTGGAGAGGCACAAAGAGAGGAGGGAGAAATGGGTGTGTGCCTGTACATGTGGCACGGCAGGGCCAGGCTGCCTCCCTGCCTTCTCACCTCCCTGAGCTGTGCAGGAGTGACTGACACCCTCATTATACAGTTTAATTCGGGTTGGCAGCTCCTCTTGGCCTTGCGGCTCTGGCTCTGTCAGAGCTTTGCACCCGTGCCCCATCTGTTCCTTCCTTGGGAGCAGGAACACAATCTATGACCTAGCAGCAGGCAGAGAATGCCACCCCCATTCCCAGGGGACTCCGGGGTCCCTGCTGTGGGTTTCCATGGTCTGTGGGTCTTGGCTTTGTGCACTGAGCATCCAGAGCTCCAGAGCAGTGACTGGGGACCTCACTCAGGAGTGAGACAGCTCAGCTTTGTGCAGCTGCTGAGATTTCTCTCCATAACTCTGCCAAAGCTCAGTGTTTACCTTCCCACCCCCTAGATCTGGCAAGAAATGGGAAAAAATAAAGTAACAAAGTGTTTTTCCCAGCCATTCAACTGTAAAACTCAGCTCTCCCATGACACTGTGTGTCCCGATGCTGCAAGGGCTGAAGCTCACTAGGGAGTTTAGCCAACACTTTGGTCTCCCAGCCCTCCAGAAGGGGGATTTAAATAATTTCATGTTAATGCTCCTGATATTTACCCTCTTGCATTGGGAATACTGTCCACTGCCTTGCACTTTTGATCAGCAAACTGAAACATGGGGAGTGGTGGTGCAGATTTAAAACATCAGCAGAGCTGCAAAGAGACACCCAGACCTTCCTCAAGCCAAGTCCTTTGCTTTAATCCCTAAGCAATTCTGCTCCATTTGGGATGGAGAACATCTATGGTAAACCAGGACTGAGATTCAAAGGCAGGCAGGACAATTCCCAAGCCCCACTGCTGGGTTTTCTCCCTGATCTGGTCACTTGAGGAAGAGGCAAGGAAAGCATCACTGAGCAGAGGGTGTGCAGGGTCAAGGAGGGTGTGGTGGCCACACCTCAAAGGCACCTCTGCCTGGCAAGGTGACAGAAAGCATTAAGTGAAAGGGGCTGCTGCTGCTGGGAATTATGCTTTCAGATTTTATACCTCCAGAAGAGCTGGCAGGCTCCAAAGAAGCTCTCTGAATTCAAAGCCCCATTTACCAGGATCATGTGAGTGATTCCAAAGGCTTGTACTGCTTTGAGTAACAATTTATAACAACAAAAGCCTCATTTAAGACAGGGACCCCTGTGGGAATGTTCCTTTTCAGTTCTCTCTTCTGTGGGTAATTGCAGAAAGATGACATTTAAGTTGTTCTACAAAAGTGGCAAGCAAAAGAAAAAAATGAAAGAGGGGATGGTGGGAAAGGTGAGAAGGAGCAGGATAGAAAGGAGTGGCTAGCCTGGTTAATATTCTCAAAGGCCAGGGGGTTTACAAATAGGAAAGAAAAGGTTTGCTCTGAATAACAATCTCATCTCCCAGCAGGGTGACAACAACTCCATGTTCTTGGGACACAATGGACGAAGGCTGGAGGTGGAAAAGCAGCCCTGGGCATGGGAGCACAGCTCGTTCTCCAGCTGACAGGCAGATGGAAAGCGTGGCTGGGTGCCAGACCCCAGACACTGCTGCCCAAAGGAAAGGACTGTGCTTTGGCCACAAACAGCAGAGCCCTGGCTGCCTGAATTCCTCGGCACTGGGAGCAGACTGTCTGACCCATGGATGCACAGAGCCAAGGGAGTGCAGAATCAGTGACAGGGAGCCTCAAACCTCTTCCAAAATCCTGCTGTGGAATGGAGAAGATGTGGAATGGAGAAGAGAAGAAGACCAATATACAGTGGTTGGTAAAAACCTCCTCTGTAAATGCTGGAGAAATCCCTCTGGGATGAAGAGCTGCATTCCCCTACCTTGTGAGAAGGTGATAAGCCCTCTTGTGTTCTGCAGATTTTTAGAGATTTACTACTTATTAGAGGAGTTTAAATGCATTCAGTGTAATTAAACCCAGGGGGAAACACAAGCCTTTAACATCTCATGTTTTCTAAAACAGGAAAAAAATTCCATCTACCCCTGCTTGGTTCTAGTACTGCCTGTGGTGAGAGGCTTGAGGAAGCCACAGCTGGGACTGGCTTAATGCACTGAGCTGAGCAGCTGCACGTGTCTGTGTGTCTGTCTCTGTGTGTGTGTGTGGGTGTTCGTGTGTTGATGCCTTTTCCTTGGTCTTAAAATTAAGAGCCAGACATGGTAAAGGGATAAAGTGTTTTTTTATCTGGGTATTTAATAAAGATCTTTATGGTGTTACAATTCGCCAAGGTGGAATATGCTGAAATGCACACACATACATGGTTTTATAGATCTTGAAAATTAGCATATCTAACAAAGATGCCCCAAGGAGAGGCTTGAATGAATAGCATGACATCTCTCTATTTAAAAGTATTTTTGTAAAGATGGGTTTAATCTCAGTTTATAGGATGTGTTTTAGAGAGGACTTTGGTTTTTCAAGATAATGTAAGATTTTTCAGCTTCTAATTGTGAGGCTTTTTTGGGATGTTTGGTTTTCTGGCTTAACAGAGCACCAGGACTGTGTTAAGCTATTAGACTTAAGGAATTACAAGTATGTGTGTTAAGGATACTGAGTATACATAAGAGATATATAAAAGAAAAGGCAAAAATTATCATGGCATCAGTGTGTGTGCGTGTGCAAAATCATTTTAATGATCCCTATGGGAAGGGCAAGTGGGTGAGGAAAGGGGGAAGCTGACTTGGGCATGTCCCTGGCACGCAGGGATAATTGGGGCTGCAGTGGTGATGGCAAACTGCTGTCAGCCTCTAACAGAGTGTGCCAGAGATGAAGTGACACCCTGACAGGTCCCACTGCCGCCTGGCCTGCCCTGCCTCTGCCCAGCAAACGATTGCAGCCTTTCTGCTGACATGCAGGAAGCTAAATTGGAGGTAATGACTCTCCTGAGGGGCCTGGAATGGGGATGGTGAGGGGGAGACTCACAGCTGTGCATGTCACCTGGGACATCTTCTTTTCCCCGCACTCTTCCCAACGAGCACATAAGCTTTTCCCATCAGAGTAAAGACTGTGATGCGATGCTTTCCCAATTTCCCTTCCCCAATTATCTGTGGCAACTCACCCATGCCAGCTCTGACCACCCAGTGAGTCCTGGGCACAGAAATGGGCTGGAGGTGAAAACACTTCAGCATCAGCGGCAAGTGAATTCACAGTCTTTGGTTTTCCTTGTCCTCCTGTGCTGCTTCTCAAGCTCCCTTTCACACTCTACTTCCTTGATTTCCATGTATTTGCAATTTTCCCTCCTTTAGAGAAGCAGGGGGCCCCTGTAAGCACACAGAGAAAGGGTAGAAAATATAAATATATTTGTTATGTAAAAAATATAAAGCACTTGTGTAACTCCTTCTGCAGCAGCCTGGTTGTCTCCAGGTCTGCCCTGAAGCTGAGTTTTTAACCCCAATGGAATATTTGCCATCCAAGACCAAAATTATTAAAAACTCTGTAGGTATCTAAACAGTCTCCATTCACTGAATCATAGAAGGGGTTGGGTTGGAAAGAACCTTAAAGTTCATCCAGTTGCATCCCCTGCCATGTGCAGGGACACCTCCCACTGTCCCAGGCTGCTCCAAGCCCTGTCCAGCCTGGCCTTGGACATATCCAGGGATGGGGCATCCACAGCTACTCTGGTACCTGTGCCAGGGCCTCACTCTCTCACAGGGAAGAATTTCTTCCTAATATCCCATCTAACCATGCTCTTTGTCACTTTGAAGCCATTCCCCCTTGTCCTGTCACTCCAGGCCCTTGTAAATAGTCTCTCTCCATTTTTCTCCAGGCTCCCTCAGGTACTGGAAGGCCACAATTAAGTCACCCCAGAGCCTGAACAACCCCAACTTTCCCAGCCTTTCCTCACAGCAGAGCTGCTCCATCCCTCTGATCCTCTTGCTGCCTCCTCTGGGTTTGCTCCATGTCTTTCCTGTGCTGGGGATCTCAGAGCTGGGTGCAGAAATTCCTGCTGAAATTATTTAGTGCAGCTGGAATGTTGTGCCACATTGGCTGAGTGCTCTGGCCTAAGTTCAGACAAGTTGCTGGGGAATTCTCGTCTCTCCCATTTTTCAGTGAAGTCACACTGTTATCACATCAAATGGCTTGTGACTTAAAATTCCATTGCAATGGTCATACAAGGAATTGCATTTGCTGTGACTGGGGGGAAGGGACATGAAGAGAAAAAATTAAACTTGATGGCTGGAAAGCTTTTACTACAGTGTGCAACAGCTCCACCTCCTCGTGATGTTCAAGTTCATCATATCTAAATAAAAATGCTTGGAATTTGTCTCTCACAAGGGAAAGCAGTCATTTCAAGGGTACTGTTGAAAGCAGATGTCAAAGGTAACACCACGGGCATGTAAATTGAATCAGAGCACTTAATTGGCACTGTTTTCTTCAGAACATTGATGTCATTCCAGAACAATCCCTACCCCCAGCACACTCATGTCAGGTCATATTCTGAGCCCATTTCCTTCACAAGGTTATTCCCTTTGACTCCAATGGATTAACCAGTTCTGCATGGCAGGAGAGAGAGGTCAGATGTAGATCTCTTTCACTTACATCGAATTAAATTGATTTTTTCTGTTTAAAAGAACTTCTAAAACAGCAGATAATGGGAAATATATTTTAATTACTCTACCCCCTCTCCAACACAGCAGAAAGCCTATTGTGCCAGGTGGTGTCTGAGTGCTGACAGAACAAAACCTCCCCAATTCACAGGCAATACACCCCAAAGAGGGAAGAGCTTTCCTCCTAAATGAGTGAGAGAGCTGTTTTACACCCTGAAAACACAGATTTTCAACAAGCTCAGTTGCTTTCATGGATAATCCCTCATTTTTGCTAATCCTTCCAGAGGATCTCTTAGCTCATTGATGGGCAGTGTTAGAAATCCTCTCTTTCTCTGGGTAATTGCCCTCTTAGGATACTCCTGATCCACAGTCTGATAAATAAATAAATACCCTGAGACAAAATGCTGCCCCAGCAGAGCCCATGTGGGCACCCAGTCCTGCTCTCACCTCATTTATTGTCCTGATTGGTGCCCAACAACCTCTCAGACCAGGTGGTTTGGCTTTGTCAGACCTTTCCTGGACTCCATTAATTCTTTGTTTGCCACTAAATTTTGGGAAGTACCTGTGGTCACTGTCAGAAATTTTCGCAC